TTTTCAGGATATTCATACAAATACATTTGACATGCTCTTTCAAAGTTGCAGTTACAGATATAATAAATTCCAATAATATTATGCTGATCTTCATTTTTAACCTTTGCCAAAACGAAAATGTTTTTGACCATTTACTGAAATTTTTTAAAGAATAATATTCAGTTGGCGTTTTGGTTGTTCATATGCATTTTTAAGAATTAATTTGTCATAATAAAATTAAAATTGTAACAATGTTTTAATTTTGACGCAACAACTTATTGAGTTATGTATGACCAAGTGATGGTAATAGTTAATAATAATAAATGTATTATTGTAGCGCGTGGTGGTAATAGCTTTAAATATCTAGATGGATTTCACAGGGTCTAACGACACTTACAGTGTACGATAATTCAATAAACAAAGAAATCTAAATAAAAAATTTAGATAAATTTGGAATGAATACACTGAAGATGAATTTTTCGAGACAAAACGTCTGAATCTGGTTAGGGCAGAGGCAGTACAGTATTGGGAGTCATGAAGGCTTGCAAAAAATGTAACAAAATTTCCAGGGTCATATTTAAAAAAATGAAGTTGATGATGGTCCTGGAGAGACGAAACGTTACATATAAAAATTGATTATGCCATTCGATAGAGGGCAAAAAGTGGCCATGAGAAATTCTTCGTTTTTCAATATCTCCTCAAACAAGGCTGAAATTAATCAAAAACGGATTTACAAAATTTCGGTTATTTTCAAATATTTCGAAAACTAATCATGTTAGCCTTGATTTTTTAGAGGCATATTGTTGGTCCCCTGATTACGCAACTTTGCCCCCATTTAAGCTACTTCGTAGCTCTTACCGTTTCCGAGATCCCTGTAGTGAGAAGCGAATTTGTAACAGCCTGCATAAATGTGTAGTTACATTAGAAATGACAAAACTATGTAAAAGATAATGAGCAAAATATTTTTAAATATAATCAAAAAAAAAAAAATGTAACTGTGAGAAGTAAATTACTTAGAAATACTTAAAATTATACACAAGTGATTAATTTTACATATCGTGTTACAAATTTTATAACAACTATCTTTGTGTGCAAACAACATTGCAATAATTGTTTAAAATTTAGTACGCAATAATTTATAATTTTTATCAGTGGGGACAACATTCATTGATAAAAATTATGGATTATTACAAAATATTACGCATTTGCAATGGTTTACATACACAAAAAGTGTAACTAAAATATGTACTATTTCGTATTTTTAAGTATATTCACTTCTTTATCTTATAGTAAGTATATCGATTTTTTTTATGTTGTACTTGTTGCATTAATATTTTATCTTACTATTTCTGGTGTTAATCGGTATTCTTACATACAAAACAAATAACTGAATTTGCAGTGAACGTTCTAGCACAGCATTTAAATTACATGTTTTCATGTAATAGTCCAGGGTCCATATTGGCATGGTTGTTACTTGATGTAGATTAAATATTAATAAAAATCGCTCGAGAATAATATACACAATGAAATTATAAGTTATACCTAGTATAAGATATAGGTAAAAAAGTTGTGCTATTTGTAGGAAAAATCGCAAAAATACTGAAAATTAATGTATTTTTTCTTACACTTTAACTAAAAAACACTACTAATGAAATTATTTGTTATGAAATTTCCTACAAGATACAATTGTTTTGAAACTCGCGCATGTTATATTTTCTTGCTAGACATACAAAACCACGTAAAAAAGTGATGAAAATCCAGGTAAATTGAAGCGTTCAATTGCTGGGGTTAAACTTATGCAATTTAATTGGCGTCGATTTTTTTTACATGTACTTGACCTCTTAACTATCATATATAACTAGGACTTTTAGAGCAATTTTAAAAGTTTGAAAAATTTTGATTTTATAAATAAATGTTTCGTGAAGCGTTTTTGCGGGCTGGAAAAAATATATCAAAGTACTAACCAAACGTTATCGGAAAGACGCTTAACTTCAAAACATTCTTATAAATTCTGTGATACACTGTAAAAAAATCGGTGTGAGTGAAAGCAATAAAGGTTCGGAGAGAATCCACTGAGTGAAATTATTGAGTACATTTTCACTCAATATTGGGCATTTTAATAATTTTACTCATTTGTGATTATATTTATACTAAAACTGGGTACTTTCACTCAAATATAGGTACTCATTAAATAAATTCTTCACGTAAGCTCGTATTTGGTGCACTTGTCCCTAAATCAGAGTAAATGTGCCCATTACTGAGTACTGAGTGAGTTTAAATGTACATTAATTTCGAGTAATTTGAATGGCGCCGTGAAGATGGCATCACTTACATATTGCTTCTGTAATCTCGACCACAGTTGATAGGGGCCCGTTAGATGCTCCAGATAAGCGTAATCGCCAGGAGAACAGGCGCTACCCGGCGACGGCGCGTCTCAGCTGGCGTGTTTGAGCCAGGACAGGAAAAGGCTATGCGAAGTGAATTAATTTCCTAATTAATCATTTATGAGTGATTTATTTTTGCACTCAATATTTAGTTAATAAAAACCAAGTCTGAGTAAAAAATGACTCAATAATAGTTAAATTTAAATCATTTTAGAGAAAAAGTCGACTCTAAATTAGTTTTATGTGCTCAGAATAAAGTCAAAAGTCACTCAATTGATAGTTAACAGTAACTCGGATTTGAGTAAAACTCACTCATTGCTCATGCAATAGTTTCACTCACGGAAATTGATACATTACTGAGTAAAATTGAGTGAAATTTTTTACGGGGTATCGAGTGTGAAAGACAACAAGCGTTAGCAACTATGCAAAATGTAACAACAAAAATTGAATGTGGTAGTTTTTTCAAGAACTTTCCGTGTGTGTTCTTATAAATACTATCGCACGTGTGCTTTTTGTAGGATATTCAATGAATATGGACAAGCTGACAATTTGGGGTGAAAAACAGAACTTGAAATCGTGCGTTCAAAAGGAGTGCGCGCTTCAGCACGCAATATATCGACTTCTATGGCTCCGATATTGATATTTCTTTTTAAATCGTTATAGCAAACTTTTTTTTAATACTTTGATACAGTTTTCTACTTGCAAAACCGCTTCGCAAAAGTATTTATATGTATAGTCAACATTTTTCAAACCTTTAAAATCGCTTCAAAAGTTGTTAAACAAAGTATATTAATATTATAAAGATTCTATATGATAGTTATGGGGTCCAAGTAGGTAAATATTAAAAAAAATAGCGCCAATTAAAATACCTAAATTTAATCCTAGAATTGACGCAAAAAATAAGAACATTTTGCTCTGAAATTAATTAACAAATGTCTGATGCTAAAACTATCAGACCGATTTGGATCGGGTTTTGGGATTACGTTTTGTAATATGTATTAATAAGTACTCAAATCCACATTTATAATAAAATTGGACAATTTCTTACCTGTCAGTTGAACGCTTCAGAATTACCTACCTCGATTTTCATCACATTTTTATGCTGTTTTAGCTATCTACCAACAAAAATGTAACATGCGCCAGTATCAAAACAATTCTATCTTGTAGGAAATTTAAGAACAAAAATAAACAATTTCATTACTAATGTTTTTTTCTCTAAACTGCATATTTACAGTTATATTGGAAAATGTGAGAAAAAATACTTAATTTTTGCGTATTCTTGCACAACCTAACTTATATTTTCATTATATACAGGCTGTTACAAATTCGCTTCTCACTACAGAGATCTTGGAAACGGTAAGAAATACTAGTAGCTTAAATGGGAGCAAAGTTGCATAATCAGGGGACCAACATTATGCCTCTAAAAAATCAAGGTTGCATGTTTAGTTTTCGAAATATTTGAAAAAAAAAACGAAATTTTCGAAATCCGCTTTTGTTTCATTTCAGCCTAGTTTGAGGTGATATTGAAAAAAGAAGAACACTTTCTGATGGCCACTTTTTGCCCTCTATCGAATGGTATAATCAATTTTTATATGCAACGTTTCGTCTCTCCAGGACCATCATCAACTTCATTTTTTAAAATACGACCCTAAAAATTCTATTACATTTTTTGCAAGCCTTCAAGACCCCCAATACTGTACTGCCTCAGCCCGAACCAGATTCAGACGTTTTGTCTCGAAAAATTCATCTTCAGTGTATTCGTTCCAAATTCTGTTTCCAAGATTTTTTTCTTTAGATTATCGTTTCCGAGATCCCTGTAGTGAGAAGCGAATTTGTAACAGCCTGTAGATATATAATTTTCGAGCGATTTTTACTAATTTCTATGCAAAGCAACAGCCACATCTGGAAGGTTTTAGGCTTAATTCTCCTAGACTATTTTATATACTAAATAGATGAGAGAAGTGCCAAAAATATTAAATTACAGGTATTTTTATACTTCGTATAAGGTAATGTTATATGAATATATTAGGCGACAAAATAACTAATCATTTAAAATAATAAAATATTTTATTAAATAAATGCTGCTACAGTGTTATTAAATACTTTTAAGACAATAATGTACTATTACTTTCCTTTTATATATGTTCATTCTTGAGTATATTATTAGTTTCTTTTTTCTTCAGTTTATTGTACAAGTGTAACTGTTTTATTTTGTCAGCCACCATCGATGATATTTTGTTTTACATATGACTTGTTCTATCCCTAATCTTATAACATACAGAAATAATAAGTGATTATTATTATTTTTATTTAGTATGTATTTAATATAGTATGTTTTTAATTTTAAGTAAAATATTTATGACTGTACGTTTTTTAAAGTACAACCAAGAGAGTGTTGTTTTTTCTTTTCAATAGATCAACTTAATCAGTTTTGCTTAGTAGACAGAGCTGCGCGAGATTGAAAAAGAACGCATTCGACTTGAAGGAATAGGACGTACGCGTATGAACGCTACTCTGTGATAACACCCTAGGAATTGCTTTTAGGTATTTATATTTTTTTTCTTAATTTTTAAGGTTAGATACAAATATGTTCTTACTTTTAGATTAAAATATTTAGACATATTTGTGGATACCTACCAGTGTGTGATGATGCAAAACGATGAAGGGGTTCGCTGAATTGCTGAAGCCGTTCGCAGACAAACTGATTGCTCGCGTCATTCTAGAAATAAAAAATTGTATTAGTATCACTTAATGGCATATCGATAAAATGTTATAATCATAATTGCATACAAACAATTTAAATAAGTAGTTTACGTATCTAAAAATGTAATTAATGATTCGATATGAGTTATTGTAATTGCATGTATTTGTAATTAATTATAACTGTAATTATCGTAGTATGAGTAGTTAGTTAAACTAATTTTGGTATCTAAATATGAAGCAGGAAAATCTGTAATTTGAGTCAAAACTTCTCCTATCTCTTTCTTAATTTTACAAATCAAAGCCTATATACTATTTTTTAAAAACAAAAATCAGAAAAAACATGAACGAAACTTTATCAGAGAAATTCAACAACAGAATTGTTTAAAACAAATCATCAATAAAAAAACTGTGAAGTACAGTCCATGCGATATTTGTTGAGATAGAATTCCAAGAAGACCCCTGCGTCACTTTCTTGGAATTAACCGCATTCAACACCCAACGTGAAAGACATTGGCGGCTTGGCGTTCACCGTAGCAGCTTGCAGTGCATACTGTGTTTTGAAGTTACAAGTATTCCTGTGCATATTCAGTGTAATTTCTTATTAAAATAAATCAACGGAGGTGTATGTACTCCGTTAGAAGAAATAGAAACACGTTTTAATAAAAAAATCTACTTTTATATTTTAATATATTCTGAAAATAACGCGGAAAATTTCAAAGTACGCCCCTGCCATAGTAAATTGTTACAGTAGTTCCGATGACGGAACTTTATTGGCTTATTCTTATCTTTGAATTGTATCTCAACAAATATTGTACGGACTGTAAATATTGTTTAAATTTTTATTATTTAAATTTTTGCAATATTTTTTTTAGGACATGACAATGAAATTTCATATATATTTGTAATAAAGAATAATAAAAATAAATAATAAAAAATCTTGAATAGGTACTTTTTTAATTTTTGGGTCAAAAATTTTTCTAATATATCTACCATTATTTGATGACATAATAAGATTTAAAATACAAATTTTTGTATCCTACATTTTGATATAAAGTTATCCAAATATAATTATTTTAAAAAATTATAAAGTTATTCTGATTTTTATTGGGCAACGTTGATTATTTTTATTATTATTGTTGATTATAGTTTCATTTTTGAATCTACATAAATTATTATTAAAAAAATCAATACTTATTTCTTTAATATTACTAACAGTCCATAAAATAATTAAGTCGCCACGGATAAGTCGTTCGAAGAAAGTGAAGGAATATATACGACGCTATGAATAAAATAATAACGAATTCAACGAAATAAGTTCTTATCTGATACAAAAGTCGCATAAATTGATGAATAATATCCCCTCCTCCCAAGCGTATAGCGCGAAGAAGAAAATAATTTCGAGATTTGTCAGTTACGCACCCATTATCATTCCGTTTTCCCTTTTCATTTCCACGTTTCCACTTATTTGTAGAATGCGAGGATGGAAATCGACGGATAAATCCTGCCACTTATGCGGAAATTAAAAAAAAATCCAGGGTGACCCAAATAATTGTTTTTTATTTGTATTTAGTTGTCAAAATCAATTTAAAAAATGAGAAATAGAAATGTTTCTTGTCTTATAGTTTTTACAAAAAATGGTATTAGTAATCACCACAAGAATGGTGGTCACTTATTTATTCATTGAACTTCCGCTTTAACCGGACATTTGTTCCGTTCTTACTATTTTTTAATTAATATGGCAGGGGAGAAGTGAGTGCGCGCAATTTTTTTCACTCATTTCCAACACCCTCACTATTGATTTTTTCCGTTGATTGCTTCATTTTTTGTACATAAGCGATTAATCAAAGTTTTCTTATAATTAATTAATGCAATATGGAAAAATGTATTAACTAATGTATTATTAACCTGGTGGAAAATGACATTGAAGGCAAACGACCCGAGATATAAGCAGGATTTCGAGCAGGCAGATCTTTTTCTATTTGATTTTAAAATTTTTGTTACCAACTTGTAACGTACTAGACGTTGTTCTTAAAGAAAACTTCTTATTTAAGTAACTCCTCTCTATTTCTCTAGCAGAGAATAAAACTAGGACAGTGGTATGAGATTTTAGTTGAACTTCCTATTAACAAATGGAGCAATTATAGCAAGTCACAGCTGTCCACCAAATTAGTTTTGGTTTCGTATTTTTTATAAAGTGACAGTTAAATAGTTCGTACAAAAATAATACAATATAGGGCAAGTTTTTTCTCACATTATTTCGTTTTCTGTTAATAACTCAAAAGGAGGCAAACACAATCAAGTTTACTGAATATCATGTACATATTTTTTATTTTATTGAGTTATTTTTTGCAGTTATGAACAATACTGTCCTATAGTTATTTACACCATAAAGGAGGTAAGTATTATTTACCAGTCGAGGACGATTTTGCGCCCGAGCGGAGCGAGGGCTGGCAATAGAGTCCGAGACTGTTAATTTACACTTAACTGCTGCGTGGTGTATGACATTTTATCTGTTCCCACAGGTCTTTATGGTTCATAAAATAAAGATTAGGTTTTATTTCTTGATATTTCTTAATCAATTCATTTTGACATTATTCGAAGTCTTCCGAAGTCGCCTTTGTTGTTTAGATTTTCTCGTTTCTAAGGTGTTTATAAACAAAGCTACATAAAAGTTGCAATTTTGCTGGATTTGAATTATTATTTCTAAATGAGTGATTTTCAAACAGAATTTTTATTGCCCAAGAAACCGAAAGTGCGCTACGGAGAGCATATAGATATTTCAAAGAATGGTGCCAGAACAAAAATACTGGTGTTTCTGAAATGTCAGTGCTAGCATATTTCAAGAATATTAAAGTCACCGGCGAGTTTGTGGAGTGAATATTCAATGATTAAGTCAACTATTTTCATAGAGGAGAACGTGGTTATATCAAAATACCCCAAGCTGAGAGCATTTTTGAAACGTAAGAATGGCGGCTATTATACCTAAAAAATCAAACGTTTTTACAAGAGAACAAGTCAATGATTTTCTCATTCAGGCACCCGATAACACATATTTTCTAATGAAGGTAGTGATGGTCTAGGCATTGCAGGAGCACGCCGTTCTGATGAGTTATGCAAACTTACTTTGGACAACGCCAATTTCAAAAATTTCGATAACATTGTAGTTACAATTCCAGATTCTAAAAATGGTGTGTCACGTACGTTTACAATTACTTCTCGTCTGGGTTCTGTTTCTCACCTAGAAATTCTCAACAAATATATCAAGATTAGGTTGGAAATTAAAACTGAAATTTCAAGCTTTTTTATACGCTATCAAGCAGGTAGAGGTTACAACCAACCAGCCGGCAAGAATACCCTTTCTATGATATCTAATAAGATCGCACAATTTTTGAAACTAGAACATCCTGAAACATATGTAGACCATTCATTCCGAAGAACATCGGCAACGTTACTGGCTAATACAGGAGTTGATGTATTAGCAATCAAGAGACATGGTGGGTAGAAACCTGCCACATTTGCTTTGAAAGTTATGTTGCTGACAGTTTAAGCAACAAAAATGAAATAACCAACAGGATTCTTTTCAATTACACTTCAACTCCAGGTTCTAGTGGTACATCATGCTGTTTTAATGGATCACTCAGATAATATTGAACCTCCGGTGACTGAAATGGAACGGTCAAATAATTTTGAAAAGAATGTAATAATTAGTTAACGCGAAGAATAATAACTGTATAATTACTATAAATATTCATTCATAATAATTAATAAAATGTAATGTTCATCAAATATTTCTATTTATTTGTTCATAAAATATGCATTTGCAACTCGAAATTTTTTATTTCCCTAGGGAGGTAAGTTACCTCACTTACCTCCCGTTGTCCATAGAAACTTCCACTTCTACGGTAAAATACACTTACCTCCTTAAAAACAATGTATTAATAGTCTAAGAAGTACTATAATGGGAGCAGATACAATTTTTTACTAGTTTCTATTTTATTTTAAGTGAAGAATAAAAAGCGTCGACCTCAAATAAATAGATTTTCGGGCGCAACATTTCAAACTGACTCTTTATTTATGCATGTGCTTCGTTCCATTATCCCATTCAAATATATTGACAGCGAAGAATTAAATGCAAACAAGAAAGAACTACGGATCACCCTGTACCAACATCGCCACCGAAATGCGTTTATCTGAAACCTCGCCGAACACCAACCCCATTAATCATTGCCTCACCTGCCCGAACTTCCGATATTTCGATCTGCTAAATCTCCTGGACGCAGATTTTCGATAAAAGGGAAATACTGACTAATAATCAACCCCACATAAACGTAAATTATAGATGTCTGCGAGGATAAATCGTCCCGGAACAACGGTCGACGTTCCGACGAGCGTCGGCTGATCCCCGCCTGAAATTCATGAACCGGCCCCCGCGTTTTTTCAGGCTGCCGAACGTCAAGCGATTAATTGATACTGAAATGGAGTAACGGAAGCCGGAACGTTGTCGGAGCTTTATCAGATAATCGTTTCGTGTACTCGCATTAGAAAATGCTCACGTTTCTCTTTCTCTGCTCAATTTTCAGTCACTACTTATTTGGGTGTTTGGAATTTGCCACTTGTGCACCTTTGTGTCGACGAGTGATCTTGAGGTGCATCAACTCAATTATTACTGTTCAAACATTAATTTTTGTTAAATTTCACTATTAGTATTATTTACTTAGTTCTGTACCGAGTCTGGATGGGATTTTATGTTGAGTTCATTAAAATGTTCGGAGAAAAAATTCTTGCATTAATAAATTTGGCTACTCCTCGAACACATGTTGCTACAAACAATATGCCATTTTTTCAATAGACTCCAGTTGTGCCTCTTACAGATCGGTGTAATGCTATAACAACCAAAAGAGTTTGGATATTTCTATAAAAAATACTGATAAAATTGGCGAAAATATAGTTAAAAATTATATAATTAACAAAGCTCGATAAGATCATAGTTAAACACTTAGAGACACAAATAGAAAT